TAGGTACCGGGACACATAGGTACCTGGGTACTGGGACACATAGGTACCGAGACACGTAGATACCGGGACACATAGGTACCGGGACACATAGGTACCGGGACACATAGGTACATAGGTACTGGGACACATAGGTACCGGGACACATAGGTACCGGGACACATAGGTACCTGGGTACTGGGACACATAGGTACCGGGACACATAGGTACCGGGACACATAGGTATGTACCCATAAAACCAATGTGCCTAACCCTAACCCTAACCCTAATTGTAACACTAACCCTAACCAAATAACCAACAATAACTAACAATAACAATAACAATAACTAACAATAACCAAAATATAAAAAAGGTTATATGGGACAGAATTATTCGGTCTAGCGTATACAAACCAGCCACAAATCCTGAAATCGCCCGAAGAGCCAGGCGAAGTGCGGTTGACTTTTTTTGTTATTGTTACCGAGCTAATTGGTATGGTAATTATGATATTTTTAATTGTACATATTATAATGGTTGTTATTATATTAGTAACTGACGCTATGCAATTATATAATAATGACAATAACTGCTCTTTTAGTCTTTAGCCTTTTTCTCAGCGATGTGCCGAAGTGACAAGTAAGGATGCAACATTACAGGCGCATTGCCTACCGTATCGTTGGCAATAAATATATACACTTAGATGTTAGTATGTTATGTGAGACTTTGTGATGCCAAGTGCGTCTATGATAATCCACATCAAATTATTGAATCTGGAATATTGATAGCCAAGTTGAGGTGTCCATGGTTGTGATATGCTGGTATATGGTTGCAGGTATTCACTACCCAAATTACTCACTAGGCCCCAATGCTAGATAATACTCTTCCATATGAAGCTGTTAGGATATGCTCTTGTCACATTTATAATATATTCTTATAAATATCAATAGGTATATCTTGCGTTATTAACATTTTAGCTATATCACAAGACAATTTGGCTCTAGTCTAGAAGACATGTCCCACAATACTTCATGTCTACAACACAATACACAACGGGTCATGTCTTCTAGACTAGCTCTGACAATTTTCATACAATAGCACCTATGAAGTTAACAGTGTAGTCTACACTCATTTTCAGGTCACAGATGTAATGTTGTTTACATTCTAGTGAGTACAAGCTATATTGAAAGTTTTGCGTATATTCCTGTCTTACTATTGGTATCCGTCCATTAGAATAACATGAAGTGCAATCCTTTTCAGAATGATTTGACACTACAGTAAGATCTGAATATATCCACAATATTGTCACACAGTCCAGGTAAGTGTGAGTCTTGTGCATTAAAATCGTAGGGTCAAATAAACCTTGTGGTTCACTGTAGCAACTATTTCTGACCACTTAGCTTTGTCTTAGATTATAGTTCAGTAATTAGGTATCGCAAATCCAGGTGATTGCTCCATGAATGGATGGAGACTATCTGAGTGCAGCCATATATGCATATCAGATTGGCTGGATGTAATATCAGTGAACGTACTATCAACGTAAATTTGGTTTATTGATAATTAAAATCGTGTTGCAACTGCAAGGGTAGTACTTGCATCAAAATTTCTTGTGCATTACCTTGGGGCTTGAATTTGCCCTGTAACATTTCTGGAAAACAATCTGAAAGAGCTCTTAAACCAAGGCAACAATTTACTTGTCATAAAAAATAATATATAACCTGCATTACCTATTCTCCAAAACAACGTAGCAATTCCTGTTTTCTACTTTTGCTCCTAACCGATTTGCACATTGTTTTCAGTCAGCGTGATGGCAGGAGAATCCCAGCAAGTAAGTTCCTTGCCCATGCCACCGAAGCAATATGTGAGCCTGTATGGGAGCGAAAGCATACGCCTTGGCAGGGCTCCGCCACCACCGCCACCTATACAGGACACGTATTCCATGTTCGGTGTCACATTTCACGTCGATGATCTCATTATACGACCGCTGGAGAGCCAGGGAATTAAAAGGTACCTAACCTCATGTTCACCTTTTACACTAACCCCAACCTAACCTCTACCCTAACTGCAACCTAACCTCTACCCTAATCCCAACCTAACCTCTACCCTAGCCATAATCTCAACCCTGACCTTCAACCTAACCCCAAGCCTAACTGTTACCCTAACCTACTGTTGTCAATCGGTTGTAATTTCGTAATCGATCATCGGTTGGACCCAAGTAACCGATCATGGTTACAATCGGTTACTCGGGGTGTTGAATGCCTGCGTGTGCGTAACGTCGTGTGCATGTACGTGTGTGCATGTATGTGCTTGTTTAGCCCTGTTTACTGTTTGTTTTGCACTGTTTACTACTGTGTGTATAATACATGTATGTTAATAAAGGATAACTTGTATAGTAGCGATGATATCTCTCAAGTTAAAAAAAAAAAAAAAAATCGATTATGGATTTTGATAACCAAGCGCTTGGTTCGAGCCACTGTTCAACCAATGATCGAGTATAATTGATGATCGTGACATCACTACCCTAACCTTCACCCTAACCCCAAGCCTAACCTCTACCCTGACCCCAACCCTGACCCCAACCCAAACCATATTAAACCTCTACCCAAACCATATTAAACCCCAAGCCTAACCTTCATCCCAACCCCAACCCTAACCTCAAGCCTAACCCCAACCCTAACCCCAACCCCAAGCCTAACCCTAACACCAACCCTAACCTCTATCCCCACCCTAACCTTCACCCTAATCCCAACCCAACCCTCTGCTCTAACAACCACCCTAATCCTAACCCCAACCTCAACCCTAACCCGGACATATAGTCGGCTGCATGACGTCCGCCTCACCCGCGTCTCTCTCTCTTTCTCTCTTCGCGCGCAGGCTCTACCCGCAGAACCCGCAGAACTTTGACCACAAGCGCGAGCTGAAGAAGCTCAATCACTCGATCCTCGTCAACTTCCTCGAGATGCTCGACATCCTGATCCGCGCGCCGGCGACGGCCAAGCGCAAGGAGAAGATCGACGACCTCAACCTGCTCTTCATCCACATGCACCACCTCATCAACGAGTTCCGGCCGCACCAGGCGCGCGAGACGCTGCGCGTCATGCTCGAGGTGCAGAAGAGGCAGCGGCTGGAGACGGCCGAGCGCTTCCAGATGCACCTGGACAGCGTCGGCGAGAAGCTGCAGGCGTGCCTTGCGTCGCTGCCGGACGCGGGAGAGCTCGACTGCCGGCTGCTGGCGGCGGCCGCGCCGGCGGAGGACGCGGGGGCAGGGGGCGGCTGTGCGGGCGACGCGTGTGACAGCCTCGACAAGCTGATGTGCGATCTTGTGGATCTCATGCACTGATCGCATGTTTGGCGGTGGTGGAGTTTGGCGATGTTCGGAAGGTTTTGGTCGTTGGAAGCGATAGCTGCGTGCGTCTACGTAGATTGACCGTCGTAGGCCATGACAGCTGTGGGCATTTATACTGACTAACAGTTGATGACTGTGAGGTCTGTGTGCATCTACATTGATTGACTGTCGCCCCTCGTGACATCTGTGTCATTGACGAACTCTCGCCTACCAGGACACTGTGTGTGTCTACACTCACTAACGGTCAATGGTAGCAAGATCTATGCATGTCTACAGCGATAAAATGATCCATGGAAGCAACAGCTGTGCATGTCCAAACTGACCAGCCATTGCAGCTGTGGATGTCTATAATTGTCACTGAATGCCACGGCCCACAGGTGTGAGTGTCTAAGTTCTGTGTTCAGTGAAACAACAATCATGCTAGCCTGCATGTGTTGACATCTGTGACAGCTGTGTGTGTTTACAGTGTTTAGCTGTGTTGGACTATTCTTTTACTGATAGCCAACGAGGTAAAGCACAGACGTCCGGATGGGTTGATTTGTAACCTTGCCGCTATCATGCACTGAATCTGTCATGCTAGTTATATTGACTGCATGGGTGTCTACATTGTTTGACTTTCTGTGTTTGACAATGCTTCTGGTGGTAGCCAGAAGAACGTGAGGAAATTCAACAAGTGGATGTGTAGCAATATTAAGCTGATACACGGTTTTCGGTCAAAGAGTGAAAAGAGATTGACCCGAACACATTCAAGTCGCCTAAGTCATATGATAATTTCGTAATATCATGCAAAAGTTACTGTTAAAGAAAAAACAAAGTGAACCATCAATTGATAATATTTAATAAAATATTCTTATATAGAACACTTTTCACTTATCTGTAATAATTTTTCTGGAAAGTTAGCTGATATGGTCATTGTTGCCATAGAAACTGCACATGTGAAGGTGTCATGTTAGTCTGAGGTTCAATTACTTGCTCAATTTCCCATACAACATGCACCATGTGGCAGTGGCTTATAACAAAAGTGGTTGTGCAGATTTGCTGTCTAACCCAGTTCTAAAATAATAAAACAGTACGCCAATAAACACGTAAATAATAAATGCTTCCATTGTGGCTTTGGCATTCATATACTCATGTTCTATGTAATGCTTATGTATATTTTTAGCTCCATGGAAAACATAGTTTGGTGTTTATATATTTTGCTTACATGTTTACATTTATATTAAAGGACTGTCTTCAGTATATACACTCAAATAAAGCCTATCAAGAATAACCCAGGGTTTATATGCTCTTCAGTATAGCCCTAGCCCTGATAGCCCTAGATGTGATCAGATGGCTGGAGATATGATAGCTATATGGGCCGCTATAATTGAGTATATCTCATAGAAATATATAGAGACACTAGTATGGTGACACTAGATCTATAGAGGCACTAGTAGAGTCTCACTAGTATTATTTCTATAGTGTATCTAGTCGTTTAATTTCGTATAATACGGGTATAATAATGCAAACATGATAGTTATTATCGATGTACGACGTGTGGTGGCAGCACCGTGCAGTCCTGTATTATTCACGACCATCCTACTAAAAGTTAACCTGTATCAGGAGTATCTGTAGTATCAGGAGTATCAGGAGTATCAGGAGTAAAAGTCAACCTGTATCCCTATTATGTACTCCTGCCTGTATGATACAGGCGGTATGTACCGCTTCACTACACTAACCTGATTAGGGGGTTAGTGTAGTGAAGCGGAACCGGAACCGCCTATATCATACAGGTTAACTAAAAGTATTAATGTATGTGTAGATTTCATACATTTCAAATGTCGTTTTCACAGTTATTATATACTTGGAAAGCATGGCGTGGGATTGGCAACCCGATTGTATATATAAAATTACACTTTATATATTATCAGGAGTCTATCATGATATTATCGCCATCGTCCGAAAACACATATGAAATGGGGCCTTGTGGACGAAAGAAATTATTTAGGGCAAAAAATTTGTTTGATATTGGTGCGGCGAAAAAGCTCAGTCACCTGCAGCGAATAAGCTGGTCTAACGTACCATAGATATAGAATATAGATTCTATTCTATATCTATGAACGCACTAGGGGTATACATAGTGCTGTGGATCTGTGTCAAGTAGGGACGGTCGAGACCTACCCGTCAGACGTCTACTGAACTGGATATTGTACCAATGTATTTTTTTTAAACAATTGTCTGTGACCTTTCTTTGACAGGGTTGCGCTGTCACGTTATTAAATGCTGCTGCACTGAATAATGATTTCTGCAGAGTTACATTTGCGGGCTAGACGTCTTCGTGAGTCGTGGGAAATCAATCTCTGTAGTTATGGATGGTCATACAAAAAGATTATTACGTTTTTTACGTAGGTCCCGTTTAGCCCTCGGAAGTACAAAGGCACTGTGGTTGTTTAATCAGGTGTACGGGCACGTGAACAACACACACGTACACACGCACGCACGCACGCACGCACGCACGCACGCACGCACGCACGCACGCACGCACACACACACACACACACACACACACACACACACACACACACACACACACGTATATATAC